ATATCTGAACTGCTTTATCTTAAGTGAATGTGAAAACTTGTTAATAAGTAACTATTCCTGAGAAGCTAAAATGTTTAAATAATTTTCAATGCCATAGTTACTGCAAGAATACAAAACATGGCATAGTGAAAAATTAGAATAGAAAATAAGTACACTCTACATTATGGCTTTGAATTCTGTCATAATCTTGTCAAAGTTTTCATGAATGTGATTTCATCTACAATATTTGAAAAATAGCTATAAAACTTAGTTGCAAATAATAATGGCAAATAATAATAAAATAAAATAAATAATAATAAAAATAAATAATAAAATATATAACAAATAAATAAATAATAAAAATAATGGCAAACCATTGATAAGTTTAGTTTTAGATTTAAATATGCTAAAAAAATCACAATATAGTCTATCTCACCCCAAAACAATGTGTATGCCCTCTATGAATGACTATGTGATTATTTCTACATTTGCTTTTCTTCATTGTACTAGCTTTTTACATTTAGGAAGGAATTTAAAATGTTCTTTAGGGATCTACCAATGAAAAATGTATATTATATTTTGGCAAGTGTATCATTTATAAAATATATGATATAATAAAGTGAATGCAATTTTAATGATCTAATAAAATGAATGCAATTTTAAAATTTGTGTATTTCTGATAGATTAATAATGCATGACTAAAACGGGAAGAAAGAAATTACCTAATGCCATAAGCCTTAGTGTAGGTAATTATCAAAAATAATAAAAACAATTTTAAAAAGATATTTGTCCATGAGGACAGACAGCATTTTAGACAAAAGTATTGTTCTGTGTTTAATCCTAGAAGCAACCAGTAGTAATACTAAAATAAAAAATTTAAATTTTAAACATATTTATGTATTTCACAATCATATCTATGCAACCTAGTTCATCAATATTAGAAATGCTAATATGTAAGTTTTTGCTAAGACATGGAAATATATTAAAAAAGGCAAAAATTTTATTGATTTTATGTTATACATAAAATAACAAGCAATGTGTAATTATTTTCATAAATGAAAAATTATAACCATCACGTTTAAAACTTAAGTTAGAAATTTTTAATTTTAGTTCTCTACAAAATTCTAATAGCATCAATGTTCCCTCAACTCAGATTTGTTTTACAAATGTATTATCTCCAAATACAGGAATGAAGCAAATCAATATACTTGTTTAATTCAAAACATTACACATCAATTATTTATCATTTAAAAGCTGAACATCCAAGTCTTTTAAAGTTCACTTTCATTACTGAATAATACATACTCTCTTGCTTTAGGTTGAACAAAAGAGAGACACATTCATAGAACAACTTTGGATTTAGTTTTAGATGGTCTTTTAAAATTATGCCATTTCTATAATTTTATATAGTAATTTAATTAGATTGCTAACAATCACACCCAAATCATGTGACTTTTTTCCTTTAGGATTAGAAAGCAATATTAGGAGTCTTCAGACTCACACAGTCTCCCCAACAATAGTTTGGCTTGGTGTGCAATTATTTTCATAACAGACCGTTTCAGTGAAGAGTCACATCAGACTTGGAGTCACTACATGGCTCAAGAGAAGATGTACAAAAGAATTTAAAACTAGGATTGTCTGACTTCCAATGTAGCACATTTCAGTAAAAACCAAGACTTTGTACTCATAAATATTAATGTTTGCAGATATGGTAATGTTGGTCTCTAAAATTAATTGCTTTAAAACATATCTACATGTAGTAATAATATAAATGAAGCATGAGAGTGACTAGGTAATGTCAGCAGTCATTTAGCCAATATATTTGCAAGGATGAAAGCCTAATTTTTTAAGTGTTTTCTACTATGAATGTCTGAGCTTAGTTTGTAGAAGTTGTACAACATATCCAAACTAATTCCATCTGAATTTTGGAGAAAACATTTTGGAGACCATAGAAAATGTAATAAATGATATGTCATAGCTAAATTGTATTTATTTGTAATAATGATTCCAAGGACATTATTATCTCAATATTATTCAAATCTTCAAGAGTATTTATATATATACATTTACTATATGTATAGTTTTATACATATGTTCACCTATATGTACATATGTATGAAATTACTCTATATCTATATTGTTTGCTAACAAAATGTTTTATTTGCTTGAATGATTAGTTTTATCAATTGGTTCACTGGTTATATTTTAAAGCTTACACAGAGATTTAGCACTGACAACTGAAGACTAATGAGTACCATTTAGGATCTACTTTTACCTTTTTTATTTGGATTGAAACAATGACACTAAATTCTGAGGGCTGAGAGCTAACACAAACAGTTGTTCTTCAACATGGTTTCAAATGATGAGGGGGTGCTGTTATGGAGAAATAATTTCTCTGTGCAATAGCTAACAGTTTCTTTAAACCACCTGTGTCTATGTAGGGAGTTAAATTTTGGTTGAAAAGAAGATTCAGAAAATAGCATGACAGAATTATGTTTCCTGCATTGACACTGGTTTTTAAGTGTGGGTTACCTGTTTCTCCTTGTCGTAAACCACATTACATTATGAATTATTCTTCGCTTTAGATAATGAGTGAAAACATTAAAAACTATCACAGCTTACTTCCTAAAGATATTATAGAAGGAAATTTATGTTCTAACACAGGCAAACCACACAGTTGCCTGAAGAAAATATCCCATCCAACTGTTGTACAGGCAGAATGATTATTCTTAAACTAGCATCAAGTTTCTAGAATGCTAAAAATATTTTTATTTTATTTTATGATTGTGAAAATACCATACAGGAGGTTACAATTACATGGGCAAGATAATGAGTACATTTCTTACCAAGCATTGTTGTCTACTCTTTTGTTTCCTCTTCCTATACCTTCCCATCTTCCCCACCCCAACCAAAGCTGTAATGTTCGCTTTTCAACATAACGTCTTGTACATCTCATTGTTGCAATAGGTCCACCTGTATCCCTATTTAAACAATTTGTTTTTTCTCTCCACAAATTATACCAACATCAAATACAGCGAAAACAGGGGTTATAACAGTAGGGGAGGGACATACAAAGCAACAAAGAAATCATCTTATAAATATGTTAGAAACAATAGCGAGAAAGAAAAAACATTTGAGTCCTTATCTTGGGGTTCATTTTGCCTAACATCAACTTATCTGACCGTGTACTTTCTAGAAAAGAACAATTGATATTGTCATGAAACAGTTGTTCTATAGAAAAGTAAATTAAGATTCAATCCAGTGGGATGGTTTCATGGTCAAACTAGGATTAGAGCATTTTTTTTGATTTCCTGTTCTCAGTATTTCTTTGTGTCCATAGTAAAATAATAAATCTACATGTAAATAATAAGTCTACATGTAAAAATCCCAGATGTCTACCTGCATCTGTGGTATTGGTTAATATCAATTATGCCAAGATTATGCTTACTAATTAATCATTTTTGACAGAAAAGATTTTTCCAATTTTAAATTGTTATATAAATAAATACTTAACATGTACAAGCTAATAGTAATTATGGACATCAATAAAATCAAGTTACATTTTCTTTTTTTCCTTTCGATACCTCAAGTTCATCAGTTTAGTTTCCAAAAAATGTTCTGATTTTCACTATCTCTATTTTATAGGTGTATATTTTTTCCTCATGTTCAACTAAAGATATGTAATACTTGACTCATGTTCATTTTACCCAAGATCATGCTATTTACACATTATGAGTCCTATATTGCACTATTACAATGGATAATTTTCTATAGCTATTTTCCTCATTTTAGAAGAAAGTGGATTCTGTGTTTTCCTTTCTTCTTATATGACCTAACAGAAGACCATAAATATCAGCAATTCTATAATCCAGCCTCTAATCTATTAGTTAAAATGTTTACTGGAGCCAACCACCAGTTTCTCAAGTCTATATAATTTTAGTTACTCAGGAAGCTAAGGTATAACATCACGTTTCAAAGCCAGTACAGAAAGGAATTTCCATGACACTCTTATCTCCCATTAACTACCAAATAAGACTAAATAAATAAATGCTCAATAGGAAATGTACTCATTATCTTGCTCATGTAGCTGTAACCCCTCTGTACAGCATTTTTACAATAAAAATATATAAAAATAAATAATTAATTAAATGTATAAATAAGTAAATAAACCCTCAAAATGGAGCTTTGTCTCAAGTGGTACAGCACTGGCTTTGTGCAAAATGTTCAGAGACAATGCCCAGATTCCCAAATCAGCTAGTCAACCATTTACTCTACAGGAATGATTTTGAAAATTTTAAAGTCAAATTTTATTTTTGTTATGTTTTGTTTATTGCCAGTCCCAGGGTTTGAATTCAGGGCCTGTTCACTGTCCTTGAGATTCTTTTGCTCAATGCTAACACTCTACCACTTGAGTCACAGAGCCACCTCTAGCTTTTTCTGTTTACGTGGTACCAGGGAATTGAACCCAGGGTTTTATGCTTGCTAGGTAAGCATTCTACCACTAAGCTACATTCCCAGCCCTACAGTCTAATTTTAAATCTACCTTCTGTCAAAATATTTATAGCCATCCACTTGCAATTTTAATTCTTAAAACTAAATAATTCCATGCATAATATTTGTATAATTCCTTTCTCAGAATTTTGACAATATTTTCCTTTAACATAATGTGGTACATTGGTTGTGATAGTATTTGACACATTACAATTTGAGATATGATAACATTCATTTGATTCTCTACAGGGATTCAAGAATTATAATTAAAAGAAGAGTTACTTAGATTTTTTTTGTTAAAAGAAAGAAATTTGATAAAAAAAATTAATTCCAATTATTACGTGTCAGTTGCTCAAAATATGGCTTGAAAGCCAGTCAACAGTTCCCATTCATGATGAAATTAAAGTCTCCTATATCTTCCCATTCTTCCTAGTACAATACATCTCTTGGTAAAGACTAATAATTAAAACAATCGCCTATCTATTTTCTAATTTTCAGATTTAACTAAAGTATCACATTTTATTTTTAAGACACACTTTTTAATGGTCTTGGTCTTGGAGCCATCATTGGCCTGGGAGTGGCTGCCCTGTTGTTGGTCCTGGTAATAACAGATGTCAGCTGCTTCTTCATTCGACAATGTGGCCTGCTGATGTGCATCACCAGAAGAATGTGTGGAAAGAAGAGTGGCTCCAGTGGGAAGAGTAAAGAGTTGGAAGAGGGAAAAGCTGCTTATTTGTAAGTGTGGGCCCACTGCACACCCATCCACATCATGTAGCACATTTACACAGAGTGCTCCATCCAAAGTAGGGTCAATGCATTAACTAAGTCACTGGGCATTATTGTTTAGTGATCTTGACCTTAAATCTACATTGTGATAAGGAATACATACTTAGAGTCTAATGAATTTGAAAACATTTAGTTCAAAAATCAGCCTTGCAAAAGGATTCTCACAGAAGAGGATCTATGTAGTAGTTTTAAAATGAGATATAGTGTGTGTGTGTGAGAGAGAGAGAGAGAGAGAGAGAGAAAGAGAGAAGGAAGGAAGGAAGGAAAGAAAGAAAAAAAGAAGGAAGGAAAGAAAGAAAGAGAAGGAGGGAAAGAGGGAAAGAGGGAGGAAGAGAGGGAGGGATAAAGAGGGAAATGCACACAGATATATTTCTATATAATTTCCCCTAGCACTTTTCAGTTTTTCAGTTCATACTGGATTTTTTTAAGTTATAAAAGGTTACCCTGTGTTCAATGAGAAAGAATTTTCAGGATAGATAAAAATAAAAATGCCATAGAATCATAAACTGTTTAATGGTGCTTCAATTAATGACAAATGGTGGTCACATAAGATTACAGTACAGGTTAAAGTTTTTATAGACTCAAGATATCCTTCATAAATCCAGAGGAAATATATTCCATATATTCATGATGATGTTTGTATAAACAAATCTACTGCTCCATAATGGTATAAAATTATAGTACATACAACAATGAGTATCATTATTATGAATGATTATGTCATTATATATATTCATATACATATATATAAACTAAGTACTTTTTGTCTTTACATATAAACATACTCACATTTACATCAACTTATTTTCCTGTAAAATGTAGCTTTTGCTAAATTTTGAGCTTCATTATACCTCCTGTTCTCTCTCCACATTCTCTCATTGTTTCAAAGCACTAGATAATTTTCTTGAAATATATGAAAGTGATAAAAGTCACTTACAATATTTTAGTTATTTTTTTCACTTCTTGATAGAGACATTTCAACTATAACACATACTTTACCTGTTTTAAATTTTATTTTTCAAAATTTTGTAACTGAATCAATATTTCAAAGGACATATTTAAATTATTTCTTAAATGCTTAGATTATTTTATGCTTACAATGTACCTAGATGAGGGCAAGTTATTTGCTATAGACTTCATTTATGAAATTTAAAGATACTATACAATAGCATTTACATGAAAAATACTTTTGCTAAATAAAAGTTTTGATTAAAACAAGAGATTTAGACAAAATGGCCTGACTTCTTTATACTTATTTTAGATGAAAATATATGGTCAAACAAATACACACACAAAATTCCTAATACTTTTAATACTACTAATTCCTAATACATTTTATGTTAAAATACTTTTTATTTTTAAAGGATGGATTTGCTTGAGTATGAGGATGTTTTATAGTGAATATTTTACTCTATTAAAATGAAATGGTTTCTTTTTTCTTTCTAGGAAAGATGGGTCCAAAGAGCCAATAGTGGAGATGAGAACAGAGGATGAAAGAATTACCAACCATGAAGATGGGAGCCCCGTAAACGAGCCAAATGAAACCACACCACTAACAGAGCCTGAGTATGTGTCTAGAAGCTTTTACTTATTTTGGTGAAAATGAGTATAATGATAATCCTCTTTCATCAATTTGTAGTAAGAATTTATGAATACCCACATTATTTATAAAGAAATTACTTTTAATGAAAACTTGTTAAAATCAATTATTGATACATTTCATAGGAACTTTTTGTATCAAGGTCAGCAAACATATATTGTTCGATCATATGTTTAGAATTTTTTTAATAACATTAAGAATATAAAAAAGTCAATATTTCTTATTACATTGAATTTTAAAGTATATTGCTAATCCTCCTGTATTTGAATTTCACACAATAGAAAATACTAGCAATTATTGTTTAAAAAGCTTGGGAACTTAATAAATCATGCAGATGACATAGCAAAATTTTCAACCATTTATATTCCAAGACATTAAATACACGTTAATATCAATGGATTATAAATCCAAGTGGATCTACAAATCCAATTCTTAATTTAATTAGTTCCACCCACATTTTTGCATTATAACACATTATAATAGACAATATTAATTATTTTATTATCTGTCAGTTTTCAAATCAGTTTGATCATAGTTTTCTTAGCTTGTTTTTTCGATGTCATAGTAAAATTTTCTTGTATAAACAATGACTTAAAGATCAATTATATCTCCTAAAATTCCTGAAAAAATTGTGTTTATTATTACTTTTTCTGTTTCCTTCCAGAAAATTGCCTTTAAAAGAAGAAAATGGGAAGGAAGTCCTAACCCCAGAAACTATAGAAATTAAAGTTTCCAATGACATCATTCAGTCAAAAGAAGATGACAGTAAAGCATAATGACAATGTTACAGCAGCTTGATCAACAGTAAAAAGAGCATCTGGATCACAGTGAACTTACGACCAAAACTATTCCATTGACCTTAATTTCTTGGGAAACTTCTAGCTTGGAATAGAGTGTACACATATACATAGGATCAAATACTCCTGCCCATGGCCTATTTCCTTTATTTGTTGTTGTTGTGGTCGTTCATTTTGTTAACAACTGCAATATAAATACTTCAATGGCACCAACTCTTAGGTATCAATTTGATTATAGGATTGAAATATTGCAAAGTTTTACTGGTGAAAGTGCTCTACTTCTTGAGAACTTTGTATTACATACCATCAACAAAGCATTTCTAACTCTAAGAAAAGAGACTGTAATCAGACAAAAAAAGTTTTGTGGCCTAAATATTGAGAAAGTCCTGCATATATGTGACTCTTATCTTTGCCAAATACATGGCTAAAGAGGCTTCTAGCTTATAGTGAAGACACATAGGAAAGCTTACACATTTTATCAGGAGAATTTCAGGGAATCAGGCTTAAGAGAGAGCCACTTATTAACTAACATTAAAAATTGAGGAAATGTTGGAAAAATCTTTCCCACTTATGATTACTGTGCATTTTTCACACTGTTTTTTGATACACTGAAGTACCAGATCAAAATTGTTACTCATTTGTAAGAACATTAGTTGTATATAAAACTAACGTGATTAGAGAGACTTGCCCATATGTTGGTCTCTTTGTGTATGCCATTCTCACTTACAATGGATCACACACAAAAAATAAATGTATTACAAGTAAATATGATTTTGATTTCTGCCCTCAGCTTCAAATAAAAGAAATTGAAATGGGAACAATATCTACATCTTGTCTGCATATATTTCTACACATGATTGTATTTTATCTTTAACTTTATCAAAAAAAACAAACAATAAAACTTAGTCTTTAAAACTTCAGATCACATCTTCAGTCATGTTCAGTCCATGCAAGGTTAAATCTTTTAATGTGCTTAGTCCCTTAGTAAATTAAATTAACCACTGGGAATTAGACACCAAAGTTTAATTAAATGAAAGAGAAACAATTTAACTTTCAAATGTGCCATAGAACTGTCAATGATGAACAATTGCATTTCCATTGTTTTTTTATTCTGTGTCTTGTAGGTAGAATCCATTTTAAGATTTCTATTAAGTAACTATGGTTACACAACCATATGTTTTTCAACATAAATATTGTAATATCAGTTGTTAATGCATAAATAGCAGAATACAATGTTTCTTAACTTCCAAGCTATGCAAGCTCCCAGAGGTAAAAGCCTGAAATATGATTTAATTTATGTAGAAAAAAAACATGGATTTGTGACTACAGATATCCATTGGGAGCAAGTTTTAGATTATTTCTTACCTAGATAGCCAAAGGTGTCTGTGGGCCCCTTTACATTCATAACCTTCACTCTTCAGCTATTGCATAAAGAGTTCAAATGTGGATTGACTAAAGATTCATTCTTATAAAACATTGGATGGGGTTTTTAACACTGCAGAGAGAAACTGCTTTGATAGTGTCTTTCCGTACTTATAACTTGACAAAATCAAATACAATTATCAATGTTACTCGTGAGCATCTTTTTATTTACCAGTTGTTTAGAAGTACCAGTCATGGAGAGATGAATAAGTCACTTTATATTTTTACATTGCTGACTCTCAACAGAACGGAATATGACTATCTGCATGCAGAGGCGCCAGAGTGTTATTTTGTTAATCTTAGGGTTATAATGCAATCGTCTCCCCTTGTGACAAAAAAGTGAAGAAAAATGAAAGGAACTCTGTGCCTACTTGGGAATTTCGGCAGTGTCTACAAAGCAAAGCAGTGAGGCTTGGTTATCTAAGTGGCTGTTCACAGATTTGACTTTTATTGTCTAGATTACAGTTTGTATGATAATTTGGGTTGATTTATTTTACTGTTTTTGTACCAATGTGCTAAAACTAGTCAAAACACTTGAAATTTGTTGGGGCATTTTGTGTGTATGTGTGCAAAGTGAACAAGCTTAGTAAAGTATAAAGCATTAACCATGAGGATTAATTTTTTCATTAATAAGCCAAATGGTTTTAAATGAAAGATACTGAAATAATTCACATAATTGAGAAAGCAATTCCGCATGTTTACTACTGTCATAATTGTGTTATACAGAAAGAACAGTGAAATCAGAATAAAGAACAAAATAGTTTTGTGTCTTTTCAGTTTTAAAATTGTTTCCTAATTTTTTTGGATTTTCCATGCAATTTACTTTTTTCATATATCTATCTGTAGCTGTATATCTATACAAGATATAGATATATAGGTATTGATTTACAGATATGAATATGTGCATATGTATAAATACATGCAATTAATATTTTCCCCTCATATGCAGAACTTAGAGCAAATGAATGGATAATTGAGGAATAATAAATTCAAATAGTCGGTTTCAAGGACACAGATTCTTTTATCTGAGATCTCTTAAGTATTGGTCCTCGATCTTTAAACCAATGAAGGTACGTTGTATTATCATCATAAACAGGTTTTTTGTTTCTAACATTGCAAAATCAAATTTCTCATCAGTTAAGAAGTACTTTGTAGTAAATTGAAAAATTTTAGTAGTATTTTTATCTTGTTTCAGATTAAAACCATTTATAAGTGTGCAACTATTTATTTCTTTGAATCCTTCAACTGTTAGTAAAAATATGTCAAGTTCTCTGAATATAAGTGCTGTTAAGATTAACCAAACCCTAAACTATTTTAAACTGAGAGGCAAAAATACCCCTGAGATACTGAATTTTTAAAATGTCATGTGCAATTAAATAATAATGATCTATATTCAACAACCTTTACAAAGATACAGTAATATCAGAATTTTAATGTTTTACTTTTTTAAAATTGACACAAATTAATGTGTCAATCTATTTTACAATAATATGAAAAATTAAAAATTGTGCTTTCTACAGATTTATTTGTTATTTTTGCAAGAAAGACATATTGTCACCTATTAATACTAATACTTAACATTAATGTTTTTTAGTTTTCCTTTATTCTTGATATTAAAAATATCTACCAATACATTTTTCACAGGCTATTTGTTTCAATAAACTTCATATGAATCAGTCTCTGAATTAAACATTTATATAAATAAGAGCTTTATCATACTTTTAGTTTATCTTTCTTATTTTAAATAATTGAGAGGTATTTGTGCCTTCAAATTAGCTCAACACCTGGCTTTATTAAAAGCAAAATACTGTAACTGCCAGGATCATTGATATATTTTGTTTATTCCACTGATGCTCAAAATACACTGTTTTATTTTTGTTAAATAAAGAGCTCAATTCAAACTAGTTTACTTGGATATCAAATTCAAATATTATAAATTATGTTGTGATTTATTTTCCTATTATAAATTCTTTTATGCTTATCAGAAATATTTTAATTTATTTTGTTGTTTTTCTAAAGAATAAATGCATTCTAGATACTGCTGAAATGGATTTGTTAAACTACTCTAAGTTAAAAAATCATAAATTTCTTGGGTCTTCATTATGACTGTCAATATGTATTTGGTTTGGAATCATGAATCATCCAAGTGATGATAAGATAATTACTGATGAAATATGTACAATTGAATGGATAGGAAGGGTATTCTTCATTTCTTAATTTAAAAAAGTATTGACAGAGCATATTACAATTATTTATGACATTAGCAATGTTCTTTTACATGGAGAATAATGTAAATGCCTAATTAGAATTACTCATGGAGTTCTTTTTTATAATCTTATTCAGAGTTCTTATTCAACAAATTTTATTAGCAGGTGAACATATTTTTTTAAATGAGATAGCAAACATTATTTATCTCTGGAGAGAATAGACTAGCATCTCCGTATTAACTTTTCCCAGCTTTCTTAGTCTCTGAAATTGAAATTGTTTATGGATATTTTGACATATGCTAAAAGTAAAATTTTTGAAGATTAAAAATTTAAGGCATTCTAATTATAAATTGGAAATCCTTCAAGAAAATATTCTATGTATGGACTTAATTATGTCTGTGATTGAGAGAGTTTTGAGGCTACCCAGAGTCTTTGATAACTGAAGTATAAGTATTGCTGTACCCTTCCCTTTCTGAAAGCTGCATTTACCCATGTAGATGCAGATGTTTAACAAAACTAACCAAGCATAATAATCACTTAGTTATATTCTTTTATTTAAAAATCAGACTTTATATATAGTGCCAAATATTTATTTGACTAAGGACCCTTAGTCCAACAGTTCATATTTCAATATAGAATTTTACCAATCTCTTGTCAATTAGTTGATAGTATTGCTTGAATTTTCTCTTTTTTTACTATGTTTCTGATTTTCTGATCACACAATGTTTGTAATTATTCGTATAAAAATTGCCCATATAAACTTAAATATCGCAACTTCAATTTTCTTTTCTGAAATGAAAAAAAGCATCTTTTAACTAGTAGACTTAGTTTCCATGGATGAGGATAAGCAAAGTATTGATGTTGGAACATTTTATTCACAACCAGAGAGAAGAGCAGAGAAAGAAAGAAAGGAAACAAAACTTATTGCAATCGAACTTCTACTTTAGTAATAAATAAGAAGGAATTGATTAAGTGACTACCAGGAGTGGTCAGCCAGGTAGAAAGAATTTTTCTTACATGTAAATTAAGGCCAATTTTACTGATTTCTGGGGGGGAAATCCTAACATAAAGTGAAATCCAGAAAAGAAACTTAACAGACCTAGGAACCATGATTCTATTTAATATGTTTTAAGAAACAATAGGCTACTGTAAAATAAGTGACAAACAAAAAGCATAACTGTTCCAATTCTTTAAAAAGGCTCATGCCTTAGCATTTGCTCATATCCCTTCTTAGAAATAGGTCAACTTCATAGAGATAAGGGTTAATTTGATTTTAGTACGTGAATTTTGTATTGTGTTCAGTATACATTAAAACATACTTTTGTAATTCCTTTAACTTATATATTCCATTCAAATTCTACTATTAGCTACAATGTTTTTTTCAATAGAGTATGTCCCTATGAAATGCTGTATATATATGTCTAAATTGTAAAAATTATACTGCAAATGTTGAAGTTTTGTATTTATGAGAGACATTGAAAGTATGGCTTATGGTATATCAAAATTGTCACTCTTCACCATTTGTATATTAATAGTAAAGATACTTTTACTTTAATAAAGCGTTGAGTTTTTATTATTTTAAATAATGGTCTGCATTGACTGAGCTGAAGGCTTGACAGGTTCCCGAAGCTTCCCTTTAAAAGTAGGGACTCTTCACTTAAGTCTTTAACTTCAATTTCAGAATAAGAATTTCTGGACATGTCACAATGGTAAGAAAACTTGTCAGAGCTTTACTGAATAGGCAAATGAGCAAGCAGGCATGCAGACATATGAGAAGAAAGGCAGACAGACACTCTAACAGAGTGAGTATTCTAAAGGAGAGATACAAAGCTCTTTGGCTGTCAGGGTATTTATACAGTAGAAGCAAAGGGTCTGACTTCAAAGTTGTTGAAGGCTAGGTGTTTTACTTTGCTCTAATTATGCCTGTTGTTACACTTTCTGAGTTTCTATATGTTTTGGACATGATTTTCCAGGTAAGAATGCATCCTGCCATAAAACAGATTCTTATCCTTCAGATAAGGAAAGGGTCCTGTTGTCTACAATTTCAATAGGAAGTTGCTTCTCAGGAAGGTATACATCCTGCTAAACAAATTCTTGGGGTGAGAAATGCATCTCTCAAGAAGGAATACATCCTGTAGCTTTTCTCTGGAGCATAGATGGTGCTAAAACCCATTCCCTACTCTATCCAGTATTA